CCCGGTATATCTCCCCTTTCCCATATAGGCTTCAGTTAATTGGCTGCTGGTACATTTGATCATCTAATCTCAGAGACCAGTAAAGGGTCATCTCATGACTTAGATTTAGATTTCTCATGATTTCTCATGATTCAGACTTCTCATGACTCCCTGGAGGTGGTATGAAATAAAGCACCTGGTTTATATCTTCTACTGTGCCCTCCCTCTTCCATTTGTTGGACTTCTTCTCCATCTTTTTTTTGGGGGGGGGCGGGGGGCTTGGCCATACCCTGTAGTACTTAGGGGTTACTCCTGGCTCTGCACTCAGGAATCATTCCTGGCAGTGCTTGGAAGACCATATGGAATTCCAGGGATCTAACCCAGGTTGACCTTGTGCAAGGCAATGCCCTATTACTGTACTATAACACTGGCCCCCATATAATTTACAGGGGTCTCTTTAAATGATCTTTTTGGTATGGGCCCAAAGATTTGGTTTTTCAGCCCAGTAATACTCAGGGGTCATGGGGTTCTAGGGATTGAAGTCAGGGCCTCACACATGTTAGGTTTGTGCTGTACCACCTGTGTTACCTCCACACCAGGCTCCTTTTTTTTTTTTTTACTTTTTTTTTTTTTTTTAAATTTTTATTAGTGAGACATCATGAGGTACAGTTGTAGACTTACAAATTTTTGTGCTTGGGTTTCAGTCATACAATGATCAAATACCCATCCATCCACCAGTGCCCATTTCCCACCATCACAGATCCCAGTATCCCTCCCACCCCCCATACCCACCATCCCACCCTGCCTCTGTGGCAGGGCATTCCCTTTTGTTCTCTCTCTCTTATTGGGTGTTGTGGTTTGCAAAAGAAACAATGGGTGACAATTATGTTTGGTCTATAGTCTACATTCAGCATGCTTCTTCCATCCTGGGAGGATCCTCCCACCACCCTTTATTTGGTGCTCCCTTCTTTATCTGAGCTTCCTTTTCCCCTAGCACGTGTGGCTGGCCTCCAAGTCATGGAGCAAAATTCCTGGTACCAATCTCTGCCATTCTTGGGTGTTAGTCTCCTATTTTGTTACTGTATGTTCCCCAGATGAATGCAATCTTTCTATGCCTATCCCTCTCTTTCTGAGTCATTTCGCTTAACATGATACTTTCCATGTAGTACCACTTGTATGTAAATTTCATGGCTTCATCTTTTCTAACAGCTACATAGTACTCCATTATGTAATTGTACCAAAGTTTCATTAACCAGTCATCTGTTCTCGGGCATTCAGGTTTCTTCCAGTTTCTGGCTATTGTAAAGAGTACTGCAGTGAACAAACAATTGCAGATGTCATTTCGACTATACTTTTTTGCCTCTCTGGGATATATTCCCAGGAGTGGTATTGCTGGATCAAATGGGAGCTCAACTTCTAATTTTTTGAGAATCGTCCATACTGTTTCCAAAAGGGCTGACCAGCCGGCGTTCCCACCAGCAGTGAAGGAGGGTCCCTTTCTCGCCACATCCGCGCCAGAACCGGTTGCTTTTGTTCTTGTGGACGTGGGCCAGTCTCTGTGGTGTGAAATGATATCTCATTGTGGTTTTGATCTGCATCTCCCTGATGATTAATGATGTGGAGCATTTTCTCAATGTGCCTTTTAGCCATTCGGATTTCTTCTTTGAGAAAGTTTCTATTCTTTTCATCTCTCCATTTTTTGATGGGGTTGGATGTTTTCTTCTTGTAGAGTTCAACCAGTACTTTGTATATCCTTGATATCAACCCCTTGTCGGATGGACACCAGGCTCCTTTCAATTCTCCAAATATACCATCCTTTTTCATTTTGCCCCAAACTTAATTCCTCTTTGTCTCAAAATTTAATACATTGGGTAATTAAAAAACAATAAATTAAAACACCCAGTGGTGCTTCTAAACTAACAATTCTTTCAAATAATAAGGTTAAAAGGAAATATGCAAGATTAACTTTCATTAAGAGATGTGAAAGAAAATTATTATTTGGATGAACATTGTGGCCAAGGTTTAGAAGAGTAAATATAAAAGAAGTTTTATCCTTAGATTTATTGCATTCAGTTTAATCCCTCTAAAGTTGCTATCTGTGTACACAAACATTTTATGAATCATTTGACTCAAATTATTTAAAAGAATAAGCACTTAAAATTGGCATTAGGAATTATGAAGAAAAAATCCAATTGAAAGTACATATTCTTTGTTGCCTAGAGGTTGTCACATGTAAGACATATCCACGTCAGTCTAGTCTCTATTGATTAAATTATATTTCTGATCATCCTTACTCTGTTACCACACGACTCAAAACCCTGGCAAGGCTTTTGTGCAGTTTGGAAGGTAAGATGGGAATGAACTGAGATAAGATTTCTAACAGCTAATAAGATTTCTAAAAGGATTTCCCTTTGGCGACCAGTTGGAAGCATTGGTTCCCAAACTGTGGTCTTCAAACTCACTAACATCACAAAAGAACTTGCATAATTTTAGGTTGTACATCAGCTTTACTGAATCAGAGACTGCATGTATTTAAAGAGGTTGTCATCCTCCAAAGCAGTGAAATAGAATCATTGGTGCCTATGACACACCATCAGATTAAGAGGCAGTGAAAGGAGAAAGCAGTTTCACATATTAGTTCCCAGTTGAAATTCACAGGGCACACTTCAAGTTGCAGGTGTTCCATTTCAATCCAGCCTTTTCTCACAGAGGCAACTCCAGGGTGAGTAGCAGCTGGAATTTATTTAATTGACCATGGTTAATGAGGCTTTCAAATAACTCAGCTAGAAAGGTCAGCTAGTAAATAAATTAAATATTTCCTGCTGTATCATCTGTCAGTTGACATGAGCTTCTGATTGTTAAGAGATCTGTTGAACTGAAAGGAAAACCAGGAAAATAACTGTTAGCTAGGGGAAGCTTGCCTTATCACTCCGTAAGTAATTTTTAAACTATTCTTGGTTTTGTATCATCTGAGACCCTGATTGCTTCATTAATTCTCTAACGAGTTCATTGTAGTTAGCTCCCCATAGTTTTATTTTTATGAAAGGAAATTTTTAAAACTGAATCTTCTATTTATTCTCTTTTGTAGAGACATAATGGGAAAATGTTGGCTTACTGCTGGTGTTACACAGAGACAGTTTCACACCTCTTATGACCACTCCACAATCCAGTGCCGAAATGTCATCCTGGTCCTTTGGATCCCCTTTCTTTCAATCCTCAAGCTCCCCTTCACCTTTGAAAACACTTTTACAGTCGAGAGTCCTGGTTTTCCTGTTGTTTGATTTTGCTTTTTTATAGCCCACATCTGAGTCAACTCAACAAATCTTTCTTTCCTGAGTTGTTACTCTTAGCATGACTTCTTCCAGTATTGTCCATGTTGATACAAAAAAGCAAGATTAATCATTTCTGACATATCCTTTGTATGTACGTGCCACGTTATTTTCTACTCATCTGTCATTGGATGATTAAATTGTTTCCTTAGCTTTAAATACCCCTTAAGGATAATATTTTTCATCTCTGGTTTGAACTTTTGACTCTTAACAAAAAACAGCCTTGTGCAGAAATCTAGATTGAGTTGATTATGATTAATTTTGAGGTTTGTTAAGTGGAGGCGGTTTCTTCTTGCATACTATACTCTTCAGTTCTGTTACTTCTGATTGTAGTTTTGTCGTTTCTGCTTTCCTATGTCTTTGTGTTTTATTTACTACTTGTGCCACTGTTACTTTGAGTTTATTAAACATTCTCAACCACAGTGTCTGTAAAGTCATTATCTGAGAAATTACGTGGCTGGTTAGTCCTTGGGGAGCCTTCTGTGCTATTATTTTCACTCACTGAACTTGGTAGGCTTCTATAATTGGCTTCCCTGCTTTATCTGCTGTGCTCTGAAGGCGAATCTTTGTAGTTATTGCTTGGGAGCTCTCCGAAGAATTAGTTGAGTGTTGCTCTTTTCCTTCTGTACCTGACTTTTTTGTTGCTTCTGGTTTGTGATTTTGAGACTTTGTGGATTATGAGACTAACTTCAATGCCATCTTGACTCTGAGCACTCCCTTAGCTGTGAATTAAAGCCCTGGGATTTCTTACCACCATCACTACCACATTATGGCTTTTCTGTGGGGAGTGAATGGTGCTAAAAAATGCACTGGGAGTGGCAAACAGAGCTCCCCTTTCTGAGTCTTGTTCACTGCAGGAGTTATGAGTGCGTGCAGTGTGAGGTGTGATGAGTGGAATTGTGAGGATACAAGCAGCAACAAGCAGAATTATGGACATGGGCTGTGGTGCAGACCTGCAGAGACATCAGAAGTCCAGCAAGGCGGCTTGAACTGAGGTGGAGGGAAAGAGGATCTGTTTCTGGTCCTAAAAGGCCCAGGGGTGGGGAGGGTATCAACTAGGAGGAGTTGGCCTTCACTTGGAAAATGTACAAGCAAGTAGAGAGGCCAAGGTGTGGATGTGGTATGCAGAGATGTCCTCAAAGCATATATGTATATATGTATCTATATGTATATATATGCACATATACGTATATATGCATATATACATATACATGTATATATAGGCAATACATAAATTGGCAATATATAGGCAATATAAATAGGATATATAGGCTATATATTTACACACACACATACATACATTCATAGATAGATAGATAGGCAAGCTGTTTTGCCACAAGCCACTTAGGCAGAGGCAAGTAAGGCAGACCTTTTCCTGTAGAATTAAAGGTCCTAGAACTTGGTAATCAAGACAAATACAACTTCCGTGGGCAAAATTCAATCAAAATGAAAAAAAAACATAATGAAAAAAAAGTCAAAGTTTTAAAAAATGACACTCTGACCTGACCCAAATGTAGCCTGAGACCAAAGGAAAAGTCAGTCATACTGATCCTGGCTCTGAAAAATCACAGGTAAGTCACAGGTAAATATTGTGTCAAACTAGGACCTCATTCACCTGGCTGGTAATCTAAAATTGTATCAGTTTGTATATTATTAATGCTGCTTTTCTCTTTTTCATTTTTTCATTTCTAGGGATATACTAACATCTCCATCATGTTGGCAATATGCTGTTCTTCTTAACCGATTCAATTATTCCTGTGAGCTGGAGGCGCATCTACGTTTGAGGGGCTATCATGCCCTCTTTCAAGGCTCCTTACCCTACTATCCCAAGTCAGTGAAGTGTTACCTTAGCAGAACTCCTGACCGAATGCCTTCAGAAAGACACCGAGTGGGACAACTCAAGAGATACTATCTCCTGAATGCTGCCTCTCTTCTCCCAGTACTGGCTCTGGAACTAAGAGATGGGGAGAAGGTTCTGGATATGTGTGCTGCTCCTGGAGGCAAATCCATAGGTCTGCTGCAGTGTGCTTATCCAGGTACTGTACTCTCACTTTAGTAATCCTCGACCTTAGCTTACAAAATGCTTTCTTCTCTGGGGAAAATGTGCAATTGTGCTTGTAAACTTTGAAAGCCTAAAAACTAGAATGTATCAGAAGAATGGAAATTTGAGCTGAGGAAATCAGTGTAATGAACATCTTATTTAAGGTACATAATGACTTCTACAGGCTGGAGCAATAGCACAGCGGGTAGGGCATTTGCCTTGCATGAGGCCGACCCGGGTTCAATTCCTCTACCCCTCTTAAAGAGCCTGACAAGCTACCAAGCGTATCTCGCCTGCACGGCAGAGCCTGGCAAGCTCCTCATGGCCTATTTGATATGCCAAAAACAGTAACAAGTCTCACAATGGAGATGTTACTGGTGCCTGCTCGAGCAAATCAATGAACAACTGAAGAACAGTGCTACGGTGCTACAATGACTCCTATAAGTAAAAAAAAAAAAAATTGGGGAACAAAATTAAAATACCTTGTGAACACAGATCTGCCAGGTAGTATGAATTCTAATATGAAAACCAGTGACAAAGGAAGCCAGTGACAAAGGTTTTTTTTTAAATTTTATGATTAGCATTAATTCTTGAACTCTTATTAATATTATTGCCAGTTTTGTTGCAACAAGAAACATACATTTAGCATCCTATTTTTTTATATCATCTGATTGTGAACTTTTAAGACAGTTCTATCCAACACTTGACAATTGCACCTAAAAGTTTAAGTTTTTGATAGTCTATTTAATAAAGAGTATTAACTGGCAAAATTGTTTTCATTATAACCATATATCTAAAGTATAATTTTAACATGTGGTGTGACGATCAAACTGGGTCGGCTGCATGCAAGTTGTTATGTTTTAACCCCTGTAAAAATCTCTGCCCCACAAACTAAAGATTGCCCTAATGAAATATTCTACAGTCTCATTTTCTGGAAAATTTTCTAGATTATCTCTTTTACATTCATAGTACATTTCAATTAAGAAAGTCCCATTTCAGTGTTTATGAGGGATGTGAGTTGAGTATGGGTTACTGTAATCTTAAAAGATTCAAAAGTCATTTTTTAAAATTTTTTATTAGTGAAACACCATGAGGTACAGTTGTAGACTTACAAATTTTTGTGCTTGGGTTTCAATTATACAATGATCAGTACCCATCCCTCCACCAGTGCCCATTTTCCACTACCACTGATCCCAGTATCCCTCCCATCCCACCCTGCCTCTGTGGCAGGGCATTCCCTTTTGTTTTCTCTCTCCTTTTGGGTGCTGTGGTTTGCAAAAGAGGCATTGAGTGGCAATCATGTTCGGTCTATAGTCTACTTTCAGCATGCATCTCCCATCCTGGGAGGATCCTCCCAACACCTTTATTTGGTGCTCCCTTCTCTATCTGAGCTGCCTTCAAAAGTCATTTTGAAGTGACATTACTATGATGTAGTAGTATGAAAATGATGCGATGAATGTTATTTATGTGTTTTTTTTTCTTTTGGGCTACACATAGTGAGACTCATGTCTCACTCCTGACTTTGTGCACAGAGATCACTTCTGGAGAGGCTCAGGCGAGCATATGGGGTGCCAGGAATCAAATTCTGGTCAGCAACGTAAAGGACAAGCACCTTACCTATTGCACTATCTCTCTGGCTCAATTTATATTTTTAGAAAAATTTTTAAAATATATGAATCAACATCCATTATACTTTTTCTTTTCTAATAGAGGATGAAACTTTTTTTGTTACTTTAAATTTCCCTGGATGATTTTTTCTTATGGATGGAGGAGATAGTGCCCAACCAACTGGATTTGGTTGGTTTGTTTGGTGGTTTTGTTTTCATAAATGCAAATGTCTTCATTCAAATACATTAGGCTGTAGTATCCCAAATGGATTTGGTTTAGTGCTCCTTTTCAGGAAAAAAAAATTATTCTGTGTCCCCTTGGAAATCTACCTTCTTTAAGGGAATGAATAGAAAGTGACTCCCAGTGGCACCCGAGGCAGCTTCTCACGCTTTTTTTATTCCAGCACCCCACAGGGGTGATATTGCTCACTTCAGGTAACAATGGTTTAATAAAGGGCTGGGCATTGTGCTATAAATGTTTCCCTAGTTCTCTCGGATCCTAACTTACAATGTCAGATCCCATAGATGTTTTTCATCAACTGCTATTTTTAAAACCTACTAGATGAGCAATCTCCAGGTATTTTTTTTTTTAAATTCTGTTAAGTCAAAGGATTGAAAACATCTCAATTCCAGAAGTCAGTGTTGCCTAACTGTTAGAACCAATCACTTTCTCAGCAAGGGCCCTGGTGTGTGGAGCTGCCCATTTTCTGACAGAGGGTTTCACACATACCTGGAGGTGGGGCTTGCACATTTTTTAGCTGTGGTGCTTTCTTGGGGGTCACATAATTGGGGTGGTGTCGTACTGCTGTCGTACTGGTGTTGGGCTGCTGTCCTCATTGGGTTTGTATTCCTTTAGTTGTGGTGCTTGTATATGCTCACTGAGAGGGAGTGCCCTTCGTTTAGACACACTGGTTTTGGTGCTTGTATCTGTTTGGGGTGGGGTTGGGAGGGTGTCACTGCACTATACTTACGCATGCTTGCCAGAGGTTATACTTCCTGATGGTGAAGTTTATTTATATGGCTTATTAAAGTTATGGTGCTCGTGTGACAGCACCCTCCCCACCTTTTTCACATACACACACACACACACACACACACACTTGACTGTGGTGCAGCTGGACATCACTTGTGTCTTAAGGGCACACAGACAGCATGACACTCAAGTTCCAACAGAAGAGCAGTGGAGATAGCAGTTACTTATGTCTTTCAGGGAGATTTGAATTCCAGCCCACATGCTTACAAGGCAGAGGCTCTAAGGCCCTGTGCTAATTTTCCAGGCTCAATGTTGAGGTTTCTACAACTCAGGACAATTTGTTGAGTAAGATTCTGGCTGTGGGGCTGGAGCAATAATGTAGTAGGTAGGTCAGTTGCCTTGCAAGCAGCCAATCTGAGTTCATCCCCAGCACCTCAGATGGTCACCAGAGCCCACCAGGAGTGATTTCTCAGTGCAGAGCCAGGAGTAAGCCCTAAACATCACCAGATATGGCCCAAAATCAAAGAAACAAAAACAAAATTTCTGGCTGGGTGGGAAGCTTTCCCCTCTTTCCTAAATTCAGTGAAAGGCTATCTTGAATGGAGATATTTTCTTTGTTTTTAAAATGGGTTGCAAAAGGTGATTTAGTTTTTGTCTTTGTTCACGTATCAAACAAAAAACCACATAGCTCCTAGGAAAGAAGATTCCTTGACAAAAGATGTTCTCCTGTAGGGAGTTGATGATCTAAAAATTGAATTTTGAAACTATTTAAACCTGCCTATCCATCTGAAAGTAGGTAGATATCCCCAAGGCCAGTTTGAAGACTGCTGACTTTTTTCTTTCTTTAGAGCATTTCTTTTGAAGTAGATTACAAGAAAAAAAAAAGAAAAAGAAAAAAGAAATCATGGGAACTGTGAATCTAGTTGAAATATGCATTATTAAAGAAAACATGCTATATATTTTTAGAGTTGTCACTAAAATGGTATCACTGAAACTTGCTGTATTTTTGTATAAGAAATCATCAGATATTTTTATTATGATTATAATTTGAACAGAGGTTTGTGGAATCATATATTATAAGATTTATTTTTACTTCCACTTTCTGTGTTTGTTAATATCATCCTTTTGCTGATAAATCGATTTTAAATATAGAGTTTTTGATATTGTATATGATGGAAGAATATCAACTGTGGGTACCATATTAAAGAAAGGGCACTTAATCCTAAATTAGGCTTATTAGTATGCTATAAATATTTTAACATGCCTATGGGAGGGAAGGTGATTTAATTAGGAATCCAAAGACAAACTTGTATATTCTGGAATTTGAAGTAGAGAACAATCTTCCTGTTCTTACATCAAGGGCAATGAACTACAGGCAGTGTTCCAAGTAAAGTAGCTTTTCATCTAAGTAGGACTAATGATAATGGTGCACTAAGAAATACAGATGTCTTCATGCTGATGCTCAGAGCCCAAATTAGGTTAGCTACAGCGCTTGAATTTGGAATGCAGAAGCAATGCTAATCAAGGCTTTTATAAGCAAAAGTGAAAATGATGGCTGTACTAGTGTGCATTTCTGCACCAAATTTCTTTAGATAAGTAGAGGGCTTTAGTTTGGACCACGAACTTTGAATGAGTAAAGAGGTCATATTTAGGTTGATTTAAAACTTAGTCTGCTAGGTTGTGGGTCTACCTTCTCCTCTTGTTAATGGAGTGATATCCTTTGTATCTTTTTTTCTTTCTTTTTTTTTCCTTGGTCAAGAAAAGTACAAAAAAATTTTTGACTCATAGGAAAGCATAAAGCATTAACCATACTATGAATGACCTATCTTGGAATAGTAACTTAATCACTCTTCTTGCTGAGGTCTAAATCCCTTCAGCCTTGAAATTCTCTTTCCTATTGAGTGTTGGGCCTCTAGTTAGCCTACACTGGTTGAGAAAAGTTAGAAGAATTCTCTCTTTTCTGAATTACTTTTGCATCTTACTCCCTCAGACCCCCTAATCCTTTTGCATAACTTACAATATCAGTTTCCCCACTTTTTCCCTTGCAAAATCCTCTCATTCTTTAATTTTTGGTGTAGGAGTAGACTTCCGTAGAAAGACTTGCTTGAACTCTCAGTATTAGATGAAACTTTACTCTAACAACTTAAATATTAAATAGCTATTTTGGATAAAGTTTCTATGTTCCAAGGAATATATCAATCTTTTTTCATAAATCTGTTTCCCAGACATGTTTTAGTGATCTATTTTTCCAGGATTTTAGGTTGTGTCTCTACATAAACCTCTCTCTGGGTTGCTATGGCTTTGAGAAGCGGTGCAGCTGTCACTTCGTATATCTCATTTAGCTGTGCAATTTCATTAGCTGGGCATTATTAAATGCTTTGAAAAGATGAAGTAGGGGGCCGGAGCGATAGCACA